GAGAGAGAGAGAGAGAGAGAGAGAGAGAGAGAGAGAGAGAGAGAGAGAGAGAGAGTGTCACAGGAAAGAATCAATGGATCCTGACCCTCACCGTTTGTCTTCAAACTCTGAGCAGCGATCTGGAGAATGTAACTGCTCTAATGAGAGGAAATGATGTCCTCTCTGCAGGAGAGTTGACCTGATTCTCTGTGTACAACGTGAGGACAACACGCAGCTGTTGAGGCGGGTCAGGTACATGGAGGACGCCCCGAGGCGAACACGGGACAAGCTGAGGAATTCAAACCTGCTTGTGCCTCGGAGCAATTACTGGAGGAAGTTGCAGCAGGAAAGGGCATCTGTGTCATCGTCATTCCAACTTGCCCTGAAGGGAATGTTGGCAATGTTGTCTGCAAAAAGTTGGGCCATTTGAGGATCAAGACATTCAACTCGGGAGCATAGCTTGTTCAGAATGCATTGTATTCAATCATACAGTATACTCATACTCCATGGTGGGAAAAGGGATTTATTTAAGCCCAGTGTGATTTAACATGTCCCAGCCTGAGCTCTCTAAAGCAACCAAAATGAGCAGTAAAGCAATGCAGTGCAGAAGTGACAGATAAAACAAACAGCATGCTCTTTCTTCCTCTAGGAGCCAAAAACATATTCGTTTTGTCCTGAGGCACCTATTATGAATGTTATCAGCAGATTGAATGGGTGTGAAGAGCGGGTATCAATACCTTTCTAATGCTTCAGACCGGCCTACCTGCACATACCACGTCGTGGAAGTTAAAACCCAACGTCGTGAATTGAAACAAAACAACTTATGAAACTTGACCCTGGTTTAAGTACGCAAGTTACGAAACAAAAGTACGATGGAATTAGTTTTCGTTGACTTTTGGTTTCACAGTGTGTTTGACCCAAGCATTGGACCGGACTCCTGCTCCAGGTGGATTTTACCGCTCTTTATTCTATGTCACCTGACTTCCTCCTTTGCTCCCGTCAAACTTACTACGGCCACGACTTCGTCTTCTTGTATTCATATTGACGATCAACCATTTGAATAGATGATAAAGGCCTTTAGCACCTGCTAGTTGGTGTAGCAGGTCTCTTCTAATATCTATGAGGCGTTAAAATTGTGATTTGGGGTATTTGTAGGGAACTTGATGCTTGATGACTGGCTTGATGAAAGGTCAGAGGGTCACCTAAATCATTAGGAACCCAAAAAGCCAATAGACCAACTGTACAGACGTATGATGTTGAGCAACGGACAAGTTGAGCTTAGCATCTGACTCAACTGAAAACCCAAAGACTCTTTTCCTTCCCTTCTCTTATGGACTCTGTATGCAATAGCGCCACCTCTTAAATTCTCTTTGCGTCCAACATTCGCTCTCCTTTTAGTTCTGTTTTGCTCTCCACCAACTCCTGAAAATAAGATCTGGCTCTTTAGCTGCAAGATGTTCCACTTTCTAACTGTGTCTGTCTGCGGTGTGGTGCAGGAAGTGTACAGCGGGCTTTTATTCTAGTCGGCGCTTCGACTGGAAACGAGGAAACAAATGAGAAAAGAATGAAAGCCACTCCACCGTGACCTCCTCTCCTGCTGCTCTGCATGTGAGGTCCACCGATGTGACGAATTCAGCCACATATAAGCGATAACTGAGGAGATCGAGGATGATGGGCCAGAGGCCTCTCGGTTCTGGTCTTGACCCAGAACGTTTGCCGTGCACTTTTTAATCTCCCAGTACCATGAGTAAAATATGTTTTTTGCATGGCTTGCTCCAGAGGAAATGGAACCTCCAACCATGGCAGGGATATCGTATCTTCCTGGAAATGATCAGTAAAGGGAGAAATTGTGTTCACTGTAGATCTTCCTCTCTTTGTGCTGAGACGACAGCCGGCGATGAGCATTGCTGCGTCCGATTCACTCTTTTCTTTTTTTCACAAAAGCCTTGGTGGCTGCTGGTGTGTGTCTTACAGGAAGTCAATCCAGAGGATTTGGAAATGTAAATCACTTAAACAGACCTGTCAATGCTGCTGCTTAGTCTGCAGTGTTTCAGCTCGGTCATTACGGCGTAACTGACAGATAATTGGGTCATCTAGAGCAGTGGTTCTCAACTGGTCTGGCTGCGGGACCCACCATCACCCCTTAATGACAAGCCGCGACCCACGACCCAAATTATATATATATATATATATATAATTTGGGCATATCTATATTCAAGAAGTCTAGTAGTAGTAACGTATCTGTGTAGTAAACAACTGCCAAATCAAATGAAGAAAGTACACATCAATTATATTTTAACAATTATTATTCTCAGTTTTCAAATTTAACTGGATGGATTATAAATAATACATACAAATACATAAATACATGTTCTTCTCATTTCAAGTAAAATAACGGCTGGATTAAAAATTAAATTACGTAACAGAATTCACTTTAAAAAAATTATTTTCACTGAATTGCCCTGCAGCTTTAAATTCAGTTCATTCAGGGTGAAGTGAAAAAGCCACAATATTATATTTTTCTCATCTTCTAAAAAGACAAATTGTTGGAAGAATTCACCTCTATGAGTCTGTCCAGTCAGAGTCTAATGACTCTGGTCTCTCTGGCCATTTTTCTCTTTTGGATATCGTCCTATGATTTGACTTTTTCAACTGATATTTCAATAGTCCTGCTCTGCGTTCTATCTCCTCGTCTCTCCCCCGTGTGTCACAGTGTGTGTACATCTCACTCAAATCAGGAAACTTGTCAGAATACCCATATTTGATTGGCTGAGCTGCATCACGTGATGTGATTCACAACGCATTGGTCGGTGTGTTTCCTGCACCGCTGAACAAGTGCCATAAAATTCACTTGGAATAATTTCGCTGCATAAAAAATGCCCTTCAAAATAAAATCACAACATTTTCTTTTTTTTTTTGTCAGGCAAAGGCCCGCGACCCACTGAAAACGGGTCCGCGACCCACTTTTGGGTCGCGACCCACCAGTTGAGAATCACTGATCTAGAGGTCTATTTCTATCGATCAAGAACAAACAGAGTGTGCAGAGTGTGTGTGCTTGTTTGAGTATGTCAGGAAAGAGAAGAAAGGGAAAAGGTAGAGAATAAGAGGTATGTATCAGTGCTTTATTCTCTTCACTTAAATGATTTAGATTAAATAAAAGTGGCGACAGAGTGCAGTCTCAACCGTCACATAATAGAAACATAATAGAAACATATGTAGAGGTATAAAAACATCTCTGGGTGTGTGCTTAGTCCTTCGCAAGGTGTACATCTTAATAAACACCATCTGGAGGTTTACCTTTCTCACGTACATACACGCAACCTGCTGAGAGAGAGAAGAAAGTCACGGCAAGAAAAAGCAAGAGGGTGCAGGATAAAGAGAAGGAAGAAGGGAAGAGTGGAGAGAAAAAAGAGAGAAGGAAAGGAAAGGGAAAGAGGACGCAAAGGAGTGAAAAGAGAAACAGACGGGCAGAGTGAGTCACTGCAGATTTAAAAACAGAGAAAAACAATCACGCATGCAGTCGGTGAAAAGTCAGAATATACAAAACTATGAGAACACTGATGTAAAAAAGTACTTTTTCCACATTTGAACACCTAATTGGCAGCAACAAGGACAAAGGATATATCTCCATAACTGACTCAGATGTCACCTGAAACTAAGAATCGTTAGCGTAGAATGACACCTCCATAGCTACATATGGAGCGAGTCCTAATCACGGAGTCCGCCATGTTGCACCGCCATGTTTCTACAGTAGCCCAGAACGGACAAACTAAACACTGACTTTAGAGAGGGACTTTTGCCTTTTTCTCGTCGGCCACAGTAGTTCTTAACGTTGGCACACAGGAGAAGATTCAGTTGGTTGCAATCTGTAACCTCACCACTAGATGTCGCCAAACCCTACACACTAGACCTTTAAGGGAGCCTTATCAACAGTTTGTTGATGTTTTAAAACCATTTAAACTGTACATCAGTATTTGTCTCAAACATCCAGACTTCTTGGCGCTTTGAGGACCATCTCATCAAAATATTGGTGTTCACCAACTCCACAAGTCATCTTAAAGTCTAGATAAGGCAAACTGCGTCTGTTGCTCCGACAGCAGGACAGGAAGGAGAAACAGTCGAGGGCAAACAAAAACTCAGAATTCTCTTTTCAAATCAGACAGACGGGTGGTAAGACAGGCGATGAGACAGACAGTCGGGTGGTAAGACAGGCGATGAGACAGACAGTACTGTTGCTGCCGTGGAGGGTCTTGGTTTCTCAGCTCTGTCTGTAAATAAGAGGCCATCAACATGTCCTGCTGTGATGGATGGATCCTTATGAAGATAAGAAAAATCAATTTTGATTCAATAGGTTTATCAGAAAACTTGTGTTTACAAAAGTTTACACAATCAAGCCGTGATGAGATCCCCCCCGGAGGACGAAGCCAAGATGCATCATTCCTGCCACCAGTCAGAATCAGACCTGCAGAGTCTGACACACTATCTAAGATATCACATGTGACAGCTGGACACCCACAAGCTGATGGAACACACCTCTGTCTGTGTCTTTCTCTCTCAGGTGGTGATGAAGAAAAGGACTTTGACATCCAGAGAAACACAGGAACCATCTCCATCGCCCGCCGGCTCGACGCGGCTCGGCGCTCCAACTACAACATGACGGTGCAGGTCACCGACGGCCACCACAGCGCCACCACACAGGTGAGAAAAAAACAGAAGACTTCCGGAAAAACATGCCTCATATTTGTAAAGAGAAAAGGAAGGATTTAGGAAGGAAGGAAGGAAGGAAGGGAAGAATGGTCTTCGGGAAGAATGGTCTTAATTTCCCTTTTATTTTAAGATTAAAACATGTAAGAATGGCAGAAAATATACAAAATGAGAAAAGAAAATCTGTCGGATCAAGATATCTACGTTGTGTTCACACCAAACTCATTTGCAACGACTAAGTCTTCTCTAAGTTTTTGTATCTTTAGAAAAGTAATTCACAGATACTTTTTTAGAAGTGAGAAAACACCCCATCATGTTGGTTTAATGATAGAAATAACCAAACCTCAGTCCTCTCAGCGAGCCACGTTACTTTTCAAGTTTAATCCACAGAACAAAAAATATCCCAAAACTTTATTGGTGTCCTCATTTGAACATCTCTGGTTTAGAATCTAATCTTAGACCCTGCAGGCCGCAGCGGGTCGGGTGTTTTTGTGTGTGAGCCGCTGCTTTCCTTGATTTTAATGTTCCTGCTGAGCATCCATTTTCTCAAACCCCGTGTGTCCCATCTCCAAACTGCAGGCCTACATCCGTGTGCTGGACATGAATGAGCATCGGCCCGTCTTCCTGAAGCCGCTGTACCAGGTGAGAGTGGATCCAGTATATTTCCATTTGATTATCAGAGCTCACAGGAGACTTATTACAAACAAAACCTGTAATTTTACCTCTCAGAACACAGGAGTCGCTGGACTACAGCTGCCTCCATCCGTTAGTGTGTTTGTGTTGTTAAGTGACTTTGGTGTTTTAAAGGGTTCAGATTCACCAAAGTCACACAATGACCAGCATGCCCTGTGTTCTGCAAGGTAAAATTACTGTTTTTATCAATGATGTCTGGTACTATCCATTTAAGGACGTTCATTCTTGTAGTTATAGAGGACAAACGGTACTTTTCACATCTGGTTGCACCTCTGACATACCAATGATTATCTGAAAAAAATCCAAACCAGTCCTAACATTTTTTTTCCCAAAGGGTTTTACACAATAAAACTTTCTAGGCTAACTAACTTTCCATCAAAAAGCATACCAGTAGTTCTCAAACTTTTTCTGCCATGTTCCCTATTGGAAGCTGAAAAAAGAAAGACCCAAGAGACTAATGTGTCTCACTGAATCTAAAAGTGTGTGTTCAGAGTGTGTTTTATTATGTAAATTGCAGCAATTGGGAGCTAAGGGTTTCAATGTACCGTAGGCAGTGCTTTATTTTAGCAAAGTAATCTAAAGTTAGACATCTTTCAGACATAAAACTTTAAATTTAAATTGAAACACATGTTGAGAATTATTATCAGCCTCTGCAGGAATGCTTCACTGTGATTATCAGGACATCCAACAGACAGTAGCTGCTGTTGTTTTCCCAATCACAGTAATCTGGTCCTGTCTCTGAGATTGTTGCTCTAACAGAACATTTTCTTCTCTCAAAATGCTTTTTGTTGTTCGTCGGACCGCCTTTATGAATAAAAATTGTGTTGTAAAAGTCCAACGTCTTCAGTTTCCAATCAATGTTTTTGTAACCAGCACTGTGTTTTTCTTTCTCATTACCTTGAACAACTTCACCCATCTTCTCCTCCTCCTCTCTCCTGTGTGTTTTGAGGTGAGGGTTCCTGAGGACACCTCCCCGTGGAAGGACATCCTGCAGATCAGCGCGCAGGACGATGACATCAACAGTAAGCTGGTGTACTCCATCCACAGCAGCCTGCATTCAGACAGCACCAAGTTCTTCCATCTGGACCCAAAGAGTGGAGTCCTGGTGATGACGGAGGAGCTCGACTACGAGACGATCTCCGTTCACACGCTCATTGTTATGGTAATGACACCGTTATCTCAGTAGAATCTCATGAGGGTATCTGTAATGATATATAGAGCAGAACAATCAGGGTATGAACGACCCGGTTATCAAAAGTATTTTGCAGTCTATAGAAACTATTGTTCCAACAAATGATGAAGGAGTATGCTTTATATCTGTGTTGCACCATTATTACATGAAATGCCGCTTAAAGTTCTCCGCAAAGTTCTAGCTTTATAAAGAAAACAACTAAAATAAATAGCAGACAATTAAAATAATTGTTTAAAATGTTTAGATATTTTGAATTCACAATTTGTTGTTCCAATTCATGCATGATAAACGGCTCCGATAACAGGTGCAGTGCTCATTATTTTATATATATATTTAAAGATATATCTATAACAGTCTCAGAAGCCTCATACCACCGACGACACAAACACTTTTAACATTTCCTTGCTCCTCTTCAGGTGCGTGACCAGGAGATCCCTGTGAAGAGGAACTTTGTGAAGGTGGTGGTTCATGTGGAGGACTGTAACGACCACTCGCCGGCGTTCCTTAGCCCCCGCTACGAGGCCAGCATCTCCAGCTTGGCCCCTACAGGCTCCGAGGTCGTCCGGGTCAAGGCCCTGGACAAGGACATGGGCAGTAATGCCGACATCAGCTATTCTTTGAACTCCGGTGAGCTGTTTTTTAAAATCTTTCATTTAAGTTTGCTGCTTTTCCAACTACACTCTGCTTTACATTCATTCAGTTGCACATAACCACACCTGGGAGCTGCCGCCATTTTCTAATATAGACCGCTGGGAGCTGCCCCGCGCAACCGCAGCCTTCAAATGTCGACTCCTTAGGTCAGAGGGTTCAAGGGCACAGTGATGATGCCTGAGGGAGGAAAAGTTTTTCTCCGTCGGCTATGATTTTCTGTTTGGGATTTAAACCTCCTGGTCTCTCTGGTACATTGCTGATCATATGTGATCAAAGCAGTTGGTTAATGACTCCAACTGCTGCGGTGGAACAAGTTATGCTTGCTCATTGTATTTTATACAGCAAAGAACATCCATTACCTGACTCCAAAGCAGTTTCTCTTGTTAATATAAAAAGGGTACTTTTAAACAAAGAAAGAAAACGCCTCAGTGCAGCAGAATCAAGAAAATGGCACTTTTGACTATAAATCTTTTGTTGAAAGGCAAACTGAGAGAAGTTATCTCAAACTAATATCAGATTGATTTTATTGGAATTGTAATTTTCTATTTTTACCAAGACTTAGATGAGATGATCAAAACTACCTTGAAAAGCTCAATAAATGTCATGCTATTATTATTAAATTATTATCTAGTTTAATCTGTACAAAACTGAAGTGTTAAAAATGTTTTTTAAAAAGCATCCACCGGACTATTTCTTGGTCGGGAGCAATGCTTTTCAAACTCACAGCAAAAAAAAAACACATCCCCAAAATATCGAGCTTTTCCTTTTACATAACATTTTATAATAATAGATAAAGACCTGTAAAATGTTTTGTAATAATATCAAATATATTGTGAATGCAAACCTGTAAGACGGATACGTAGGAGATTAAATCAAGTTAAGGATTCACTCACTGCATAAATGAAAGAAGCAGCAACATTTCAGTTATAGACCTAAAACATAGTGTAACAGGATAAAAACAATAACATTGATTATTATGTGTTTTGGAGTAGCTCATTGTGTAACACATAATTTCTCTCTGCAGGGAATATCGACAACATCTTCTCCATTGATCCAGAGCTGGGCTCCATCAGTGTGGTAAAGCCTTTGGACCTTCAGCCTCAGGACCGCTTCCACTTGACGGTGAAGGCCACCGATCAGGGCTTCCCTCAGCGCAGTGACCTCTGCTCCGTCCACGTCCACATCCGCATCTCTGACCAAAGCCCGCCCACCTTCTCCTTGGATGAATACCTAACAGAGATCAGTGAATTGAGCACCTTTGGAACTCCGGTGGTCACCATCTCAGCCTCCAGCCCCGCTGCTGTGCATTATGAGATAGAAAGTGGTAACTCTAATGGAACATTTCACATCAGCCCGTACACCGGGTTGATTTCAACCCAAAAGCCCCTTGATTTTGAGAAGTGTACCTCCTACAAGCTCAAAGTTACAGCTTCCACCACGGCTGGAGCCTCGTCCAAGACCGTCGTTTACATCTACGTGATTGACGAGAATGACAACGCTCCTGTTTTTCAGCAGCGGTTGTACCTGGGGCAAGTCGGTGAGTCGGCTCCCATAAACAGCATGGTGATGGGAGAAAGAAACACCCCTCTGGTCATCCATGCCTCAGATGCAGACAAAGATTCAAACTCTCTGCTGGTTTATCAGATCCTCGAACCGGAGGCCCGGGACGTCTTCAAGATAGACTCAAGTATGGGCACCATCTCTTTAATCTCACCTGTTGACTTTGAAGCCAAGGCCGAGTATCACTTCACTGTGCAGGTGAAGGACTCCGGGGAGCCATCACTGTATGCAACGGAGCCCGCCAAGGTCACTGTTCACGTCCTGGACCTGAATGACTGCCCGCCACAATTCACCACCCCTGAGTATGCGCCATCCATCATCTTCCCGGCTGTCAGAGATACAGAGGTGGTGCGCGTCATGGCCCATGACGTCGACTCGGCGGTCGCGTACAGCATCGCCGAGGGGAATCTTCACAATGCCTTTTCAATTCACCCCAATACTGGAGTCATCACCGTGAGCAATGTGTCCGAATTCAGGCATTTTTACCAGCTAGTTGTCAAAGTCTCTGACGGGCTATACAAAGCCTCAGCTACCATCAAAGTAAATGTAACAAACCTCACAGCGAGCGATCTTGGATTTGAGCAGAAAGTGTATTCAGCCAGCATTTCAGAAAACCTAAAGACAGTCAAAACTTTGGTGGCACTCAAGGCCAGGGGTTGTTTTTTAAATGAGCCTCTTTTATATTCTATAGTCAACCCTGTTGGGAAGTTTGTAATCTGCCAGACATCTGGCATTCTTGAAACAACTGGTATCCCATTTGACCGGGAGGAACAGGATGTTTATGATGTAGTGGTGAAGATAGAAGACATAAGAACACCTCCTAGGACAGCAACCACCCTGGTCAAGGTTTTTATAGATGACATCAACGACAACTCTCCACAGTTTCTAAACTTGCCTTTTTCAATGATGATTTCTGAAACCACTGACCCAGGAGATGTCTTATATCAAGTAACTGCCATCGACGGAGATCTGGGAGAGAATGGGTCCATCATGTACTCACTGGAGGAGGACTACGACCTCTTCAGGATAGATCCTGATATAGGCGACGTATCCCTCCAAAGGCCTCTTGACTTTGAAGCTCTGAATAAGTATGTGTTGGCAGTCTTTGCCACAGACGACGGCGAGCCCAGTCACAGCACAATGGCACAGCTCAGCATTCAAGTGAGGAATCAAACCAACCCTATTTTCCAGACGCTTCTGTACCCGCTGAAAGTCCCCGAAAACGTCCCCCCATTCACCACCATCTTACATGTCCAGGCCAGGAATCCCGAGGGCTATCGGCTCATCTACAACCTTGAAGAGGAAAACGCCTCACAGCACTTTCACATTGATTTCAAAACTGGTGTGTTGACCGTCAGCGACCCCCTCGACTACGAGAGCCAAACCATGCACGTGTTGACGGTTCGCGCTACTGACTCTGTGACCGGAGCTTTCTCCGAGGCCTCCGTTGAAGTAGAAGTAGAGGATGTGAACGATAACGCGCCGGTTTTCTCAAAGCTAATGTACACTGCGACCTTTGAGGAGGATCTCCCAATCCACACCTCTGTCATACAACTTTCTGCCTCTGACAGCGACTCTGGCAGAAATAAAGATCTAACCTTCCAGATGGTGAAAATGGAGAGTAACGAGACGGATTTCTTTGAGATTGACCCTTATAGCGGGTTGATTGTCACAAAACAAGTGCTGGACCATGAAAACATAAAACACTTTCATTTGAAAATCAAAGCCACTGACAATGGCAGCGTTCCTCTTAGTAGTGAAGCCCACGTCTTCATAAATGTCACCGATGTCAACGATAACCCACCAGACTTCGTGAGCTCCCAATATGACGCCTCTCTGGATGAAATGGCAAGGTGTGGCCACATCGTCATCAAAATCCAAGGTTCAGATCCGGACTCCGGGGACCTGGATAACCTCAAGTATAAAATCCTCTCAGGGAACAAAGGCCGCTACTTCAACATCAATGAATCTTCAGGAATCATCTCCTTTTCTAATGTCTGTAAGAGGAATCTGGATCCTTACTACAACCTGACTGTGGCGGTGTCGGACGGAGTGTTTCAGAAAACCGCACCAGTGAATATTGACATGATAAACAGCAACAGGCATAGTCCGCACTTCAAGCAGAGCATCTACGAAGCAGAGCTGGCTGAAAATGCAGAGTCAGGAACTCGGGTGATCCGGTTAGCGGCCATTGACCCCGACGACGGGCCGTATGGCAGTGTTGACTACACCATCATAAACAAACTCGCTGATGAGACGTTTGCCATCGACATTGATGGGCAGATTGTTACGACACAACCGTTGGACAGAGAGAACCCGGCCCAGAGAGTCATAGCCATCAAAGTGATGGCTAAAGATGGCGGCGGAAAAGTGGCCTTTTGCACGGTCAAGATTATTCTCACAGACGAGAACGACAACGTTCCTCAGTTCAAAGCATCAGAGTACCAGGTTTCAATTCAGTCAACTGTAAATAAAGGCTCCCCCGTCATCCAAATCATGGCTTATGATGCAGATGATGGCAAAAATGCAGACGTCACCTACACAGTGGATGAAGCCGAAGAGATGACCGAAGACATCATCGAGATCAACCCCTTCACTGGAGTCGTGAGTGTCAAAGAGAGTCTAGTTGGCATGGAGAACAAGATCTTCAACTTCAAAGTCAAAGCACGCGATGGCAGCGTTCCTTTCTATAACTCCACAGTCCCTGTTCAGCTCAAAGTGGTTCCTCCTGAGATTCCTCTTCCGAAGTTCTCAGAGCCCCTCTACACCTTCTCGGCTGCAGAGGACATCCCCATTGGGACAGAGGTAGGCTCGGTGAGGGCGGACTCCAACATGCCCCTCATTTACAGCCTGGTGAACGGGAACACTGTGGAAAGCAACAAAGACAAAGTGTTCCGTTTGGACAAAGAAAGCGGAACTTTGCTGTTGCAGAAGACCATCGATCACGAAAAGACGAAATGGTATCAGATAGATGTGATCGCTCAGGGGAGCCATAACGGGACCGATGTTGCATCCTTGGTGTCGGTCAGCATTCAGGTCCAAGATGTGAACGATAACCAGCCGGTGTTTGAGGCAAACCCATACAGGGCCTTCCTGGCTGAGAACATGCCTGCAGGAACCACTGTTATTCAGGTGAGAGAGTTTTGAGTATTTATCATTGGAACTAGCTGATAATGTAGGCAGAACAGGTTCATATAAAATGTATTAAAAATCTGTTTCTCATCCTGATGGAAAAGCAGTCTAACACTATTAGCTAATATGTGTCCTGGACACATACTAGCTATAAGGATTTACGCAGCCTCAGGTTCTGAACAGTGAAGTCAATGCTGAATTGTATTCGTATTAGTTTGTTTCTGCACTGTATTTTTGCTCTAGTTTATGCTCTTATGCTTGTGTAAACAAGGAGATGCACTTATGACTTCTGGTGAATTCTAGTTATCTTGGATACCTATGATGAATACACTTATTGTAAGGCGCTTTGGATGAAAGCGTCTGTTAAATGACTGTAATGTAATGAAGAGCCTTAAACCTGCATTCTCTCTACAGTCCATCAGGGGGCGACTCCTCTGGTTGTATAGAAGTCTATGAGAAAATGACTCTACTTCTCTCTTGATTTATTACCTCAGTAAACATTGTAAACATGAGTTGATGGTCTCAATCTCTAGTTTCAAGTCTTCTTCAATACAGCATGATGTTCATTTAGTAAATTGTGGTCCATTTAGAGTCAAATAGAACATAAAGAGGATAAGAATTCGTAGAATCGTAGAATCGTTGTAGATCCAGGTCTCAGATATCTGGAATTTCTTCCACTTGGTGAATAAAAGTTGTCACTGAACTAGTGGCAAATTTGCTGCAAAGCCACCATTGCTGGAAGTAGCATCGAAATAAATTTATGTAATTAACACTCATTCAGTCGCAGCTATACATTGTTTGTATCTGCTTTCACTCGTTGACAACTGCTACAGACATGAAGCTTAATAAAAATGAGCTGTTGATCTGGTGTGACTACAAGGATGGCCATAGTGGTATCCATCTTAGAATAATGCATGCAACTTCCAAGTCTGCTGATATTGCATAAATGCAGGATTTGCCTAGTTTTAGTTTTAGCCTAACTTAGCCAATTGCTAAGCTAGGCTTAAAATACCCTGGACTGGTATTAAAGCACAGAGATGAAAGTAATATACATATTCTCCTCTAATTCCCAGTAAGACAGCAAACGGGCTTATTTCCTAAATCATCCACATATTTCTTGAAAATGCTTTAATTTGATAAAGAAAATATTGACGAAATTCTTGTTTTGACCCACAGGTGACCGCCAACGACCCGGACATGGACACCAACGGCCGTGTGACCTACAGCTTGGAGCCTCTACCCGATGACACCGCGGCGGACGCCACCGAGGTGTTCTCCATCGACGGAGACAGCGGCTGGATCACCGCCGTGCGGGAGACGGACTGCGAGGCCGCCAGGTTCTACCGGTTCAACGTGATCGCCACGGACCACGGCGGCAACGTCAAGCTGTCCTCCAGCGTCGCGGTGGAGGTGACGGTGACGGACGAGAACGATAACCCGCCGAAGTTCTCCGACGACGTGTACCGCGGCTCCGTGGTGGAGAACAGCAGTCCCGGGGAAGTGATCGTCTCCATGATGACCACGGATGCTGACGTGTCGCTGGAGAACCGCCTCGTGACGTGTTACATCACAGGTGCGTACGGCTTGAGCGTGCATTCATGAGTGTGTGAATGTGAGTGTGTTTACAGTCATTAAGTTTACATTCACTCTTTCTATGTATCATGTATTTGTGTGTCTTTCACTGTGAGTGTGTGTGTGTGTGTGCGTGTGTTTGTCAGCCAAATTGCTACACTGTGGGATTCATCAGGACAATGAGGTGAAATTAAATCATAATAGAGTCATAATAGAACATTATTCAGCCACAGATGAATCACAAAGAGGAGAAGGTTGGAAAGCCGACGTGACAGGATTACCAACGAGATCCCCGCAGCTAACAACAGAATCAAAGCCAGAGAATAATGTTAATCTATCCTTGTTCCTCCCGACTGTTAGAGCTGGACCGTTCTTAAGGAGCTCTGCTGTCATAACAAAGTGCACCGGAGGAACATTTGCTTTTGGATTATTTATAAATGGTTTGTCCGACGTTGACACTGGCTAGTCAACAATAAACACGAACAAAACCAAATGTTTGATATTAAAGTTGCCCACCCCCGGTTTTACTAATTCAGTGTCCGTCTACGACTGAGCTGCTTCACACACCTTTTTTTTTAAGAAAACCAACGTCTCCGTTCAGCACCTCAGACCCGTTCGGCAACTTTTGACAGCTTTAAAGAATTCAAACAGTGTCCGTAGCGGCTCCCTCAGCATGTGTCACCTGTCACACAGGTGGTTGACCGGCTGTGATGCAATCTGCTGCAGCACACCTAACCGATGGTCACACACATACCAGCCGGTGTCAGCCGTCAGAGAAAAAACACTTTTCATCTCAAAGGATAAAAGTTTGTTAGAAAGAGAAGAAAACAATAAAATACAAAGTACGCAGGTCAGTCAGCCTAATATTAAAACTCATCCACAGCACAGATATTTGTGAATTATTCATCAGCAAAAACACAACATCTGAACTCAATATCAAAGCCAGAAGGTAACAGAGAGACACGATAATAAAAGCAAAAGCATAAAATAAACTCAACACAACCAACAACAAACTCAGCGAATAGCAATATTAGTACCACTTGTATGTAAAAGTATACAAATATTACTTCTGTCAGAGCCTCATTCCTTGTGTCTGTTGATAACAAACATTACACCACAGGGAACAAAGTGGAAACACAATTCACATGAACTGTAAATGGAAGGAAACACACATGAAAGATTGTTACTGATTGTTGATCTATCGTAGATATGAAATTTGCAATTTAATACTTTGTTTAATCTGCCTTCCGTCTGGATACAACATAAAAAAGATGATTGTCAATCATTTAGGATCGTCAATAACAATATCTGGTGCCAAAAGTTCACATTTTAATCATTTTTAATTATAGTCCAGATGAGATGTTGAAGGAGCAGCTGTATCAGACATGTTAATGCTGTGGGATACTGTGATGGACATTATTTACTGTTTTCTAATGTTTTATTAACCTGAAGTTTAATTAATTTATCAAGAAAACAATTGCCAGATCAGTCTATAATGAAAATGATCATTAGTTGTTGCCTTGTTTGCTAAAATGTGTCCATGAATCCCTTAAAAAATGCAGAAGACGTGACTTCTGTGTCTGCGATGGCGGCTGCGGCCCGGCTCTCATGTCATTGGTCTCAATAAAGAACATGTTGAAACTGAGATGAACTGTCGAGTAATCTCAGTTCTCCATCTCGCGTGCAGACGGGGACCCTTTGGGCCAGTTTGCCATCATCCAGGAGGACGAGGGCAAGTGGGGTTTGATCGTGAAGGAAGCTCTGGACAGAGAGACCAGAGACCGATACACGCTCAAAGTCACGGCCACCGATGGGAAGTCTGAGGCTCCGGTTACTGTGGACGTCCACGTCCTGGACATCAACGACAACAGTCCACAGTGTGAACAGGTGAGCTATCGTACGATAATCTACTCAGCTGCTGGGAACACTTAACCGAAAATGTTTTTTCCTTTTATTGTACTAATAATATTCGTCAGGAAATATAATATACAGGAGTAATGCACCGTGTCTGCCTCGCAAAAGCCTCTCTAATGAAGAATCTTATTAGTTTCATTGGAGTGTTTTAGTGAAGAAAAGTGGTCAACCTGTGCTGTTAAAAACTTTACTGTCCTGCAGTAGTTTGTTGTTGGATGTAATGTAAACTATACACCCGTCATGTGCTCACACAGCACCGCAATAACAGAAGGGAAACATCCAACTCTGCAGAGTCAGCAGTCTCTTCTCCGTTCATATTTCATGCTGCAGAGCAACCAAAAAACATGTCGATATCACTTCTGAGAGGAGCATCTGCACTCTGAAATCAGACATGTGGCATTGTTGTGGTTTTGTCGAGTGTAAACAGAGTTTTATTTTTATTTTTCTCCCTAAGCTATAAGCTGCGGTGGAGTATTAGTGGAGTATTCATCAAAAAGCATCCTTGATTTCTGACAGTAAGCTTCAGGTCAAAAGATGAGAAGAGGATGAAAAACTAATCCCAGTCGAGGAGTTCCCATCATTACACTACGCACAAGTCATTTCAACTTTCAACACGTGTGCAGTTTGTTCCACTTTCACTTAAACAGCTGTACATATTCATCAATGTTTGATGCAATAACACAGAAATGTGCCAATAGTCCTATTACTTCATATTTAAAATGTTATGTGTTTATCTAATCTTTACAACGTTCATTTTAATTTGACAGACGGATAACCTGTGGTATGTAACTTGTGGAAAATTATGGAATCTTAAAATATAAGGTGCACTGCAGAAATTGTCGCTTTCTGTTTTGTAAACATTATATTTAAAGTTGCTCTCCCCGCCTGCAGCATCACATACGAACCCCCGATTCTAGTGGGTCAGAGGTGACGTTTCAGAGCGTCTTTACATTTTTAGGAAAATCCATAATTTATTTTTAATGTGGCGGATTTTAATGGATTTGATTTCATAGTAAAAATTCATAGGAACGTTAGTTTGCATATTTTTTAAACACCAAAATCTTTCAAAACAAACCAAATATACATGTTTGCAACTAGAAACTATAGAGGCTTTTAGAGCTTGTACTGACAGTTTGATATTTGTTTTAAATCCAGCTTGCTCTTGCTGCTTTCTCAAGATTACCCAGCGTAGCTTCACCTTGCTTCCTCTTAATTACTGGAGCCCCAGCAGCTGTGTCATTGTCTTCATGCAGCCCTCAGTAGCTTGACTGATTTAAAGTGCCGTGTTGAACGGAGGCCTGATTTGTTGTTGGTCTCCTCCCGATCCAGCTGGTGTACACGGAGGCGGTGATGGAGAACTCGCCCTCCAGCACGTTTGTGCTGAAGGTTTCGGCCTCGGACCCGGACGTGGGAGCTAATGGCCAGATCTCCTACACCCTCCACGGTCCCAACGCAGACAAGTTCCATCTGGACCACAGGACAGGTATGAAGCCGCCTGTTTGGGGGTCAAACCACGAGTGCTCCCTCTGAAGTGCTTGAGCTGTTGATACCATCAGCAAACTTTTCCTTTGTCGTTTCTGTTTTTCTCATATTATCCGGAGCGACTCAGCGACATCCATCACACTGCGTTTCTGTCTCGACATCTTTCTCTTTCTCTTTTGTTTTTCTTTGTTTCAAATGGTTTTATTGTGAGGAATCATTTTCCAACACAACGAAACATTGTTGTGCTCTGTTCTTTTCCATATAAACATTTAAACATAATGTCAAAAAATAATGAAATAAATAAATAAATACATAATAAGTATATGAAGTATTTAAAATGAGCTCCGCCTTGATCGACGACAACACTAAAGTAGCGCTTACATGTTAACATGCCAGTAATAATGATCCAAAAATAATATCTTGTTAAATTAATGTATTATTTGTTTGGTTTTAGTCGTGTAATGAGCCTCAGCGGGCTGCTAGTGTAGTAGATAATTTTTTTACACAATGAGGAAAATAAACATTAAATCTGTAAACTGCTAATAAAAGGGCATGAAATGTGTTAAATTAAACATTACAATTAATATTATGTATTTAATATTGTGTTTATTATTCCAGGATAAATGACAAACCAGGTGACGAACTTATTTTCGAAATGCATTTTGACTTCACTGTCGTCTCCATCGCTCCCCAGGTGAGCTGTTCACTCTGGCCACGTTGGACCGTGAGCGGGAGGTCGAGTACAACGTGGCGGCGAAGGCGACGGACGGCGGCGGGCGGTCGTGTCAGGCAGACATCCGGCTGACCATCCAGGACATGAACGACAACCCGCCACACTTCTCCTCCAGCCACTACGAGGTCACCGTGTTCGACAACACCACCGTCAGGACTCCCGTCGCCGTCGTGTACGCCAAGGACCCGGACGCTGGTAGGTTATTAAGTGACGTTCAGGGTTCTGTGAAAAAGTTAAAGAGACCATAGAGAGCAAACGTTTTCTCTCAGGTCAGAACATGCAGGTGTAAACCCTTTATACCTGGTATCAGCGATTCCTAACTCTACTAAAGCCCAACGTACAGGCGCTCCATTGTGTGTATTAATGCTAAACATAATGAAAGACTGAGCCATTCCCAGCAGAGCAGCGCCCACCTGATGCCTCCCAGCTGCGCTGCTACTCAGAGATTTTAACCCCTTAACCCTTCTCTGCATTAGCCTCTTGCTCTACTCATTATGCCAAATTAAAATAGCTTCTGTTTGGTGACTCTCCGACTTTTCATAGTGCCAGTTTTTTAATTTGCCCAAAAAACTTTGGTTTGTGAGCAAATACCTGACATGACATGACCATTGGCCTCAGCTGTAGTTTGTGTCAAGAGCTAATTTGCAAATGTTAGCATGCTGACATGATAAGCTAAGTTATTATATATCATTGATAAATACCTGCAAAAGATAAGCTGTTAGCTTCTCACATCTAACTAAAATGGAAGGAGTCTCCATTCGACTGTCATTTTGACTCTAAATGGACCATAATTTACTAAATGAACATCATGCTGTATTGAAGAAGACGTGAAACTAGAGATTGAGACCATAAACTCATGTTTACAATGTTTACTGAGGTAATAAATCAAGAGAGAAGTAGAGTCATTTTCTCATAGACTTCTATACAACCAGAGGAGTCGCCCCCTGGTGGACACTAGAGAGAATGCAGGTTTTAAGACACTTCTGCACCGGCTTCACTCGGCAGAACCGCAGGTTGCCGCCTGGTTTATACTCCAGGCTTGCAAGAGGATGCAACAATGTCACAGAGGGTTTATTGTTCAAGGTATTGAGTGTTAAGTTGTTTGGATGAGCCTTTTAGGCGAACCAGTACTGAATGATATGAGACCTGAAACAGACTCACAAGATCTCCTAGTTTAGTTCTGCAGTAGCAAAGCTACTAAACTTTACTAACCTTTATTTGTCTCTTCCTCGTTTCCTTCGTGCTACTACTTCGTGATTTTCTTTGTCTTTCTGTTTGTATGTTTTAGCACAGGTTCTTTTTTCTCCCTGAAGTTGGCTGACACAGTTTGGTCCCAATTTCCACTGCTGTGTTTGAATGTTTCATTCATGCTTTGGTTTCGATGGTCGGTTGGGTTTTTATTGGTGTAAACAGGAAAGTCAGATAAAATTAAAGTTAAACTGACAGTTGTCCTCGACTGAAACCATCTGTAGCACACACACACACACACACACACACACACACACACACACACACACACTGGAATAGTCACAGTTCCCACAAGAGGATCATTAAATATGCACAGACAAACCCACCAGTACAAATATTCTGCATGTACAAAGACTAATACACACACATGCTTTTGTTTGCACTGAGATGGACAAATTCAGACAGGTAGACGCGCACACACACACGCACACACACACACACAGGTAGAGAAACAGGAGCAGACAGAACAGGTCAGCCACTCCTTCAGATGTGCAGCAGCTTGTCCTCTTTTTCTACACAGACGACTTTCTCACAGACTATGACAATGACTAATCAACTTTTCTCTTCTTTTTATTTTTGAATGTTTTATTTTTGAAAGAAATTTATAGAAAACATTTCCATCAGCTGCGGGTTTTCTAACAGTTAGAGACAGAAACACAGATGCTGATGATTCAATGGATCTCTCTTTGTGATGAATTGAATGCGTAAAAATGTAAAAATAATCAGTAATATGATGCATGTGTATCATAGTAATCCTTCCTGGATTCATTCAGAGTGAAACTGGTGTCACAGCAGTTATATATTTAATTATTCTTGGAACATTTTGCCTCTTAAGGACATTTCACACTGAGGAAACATGAGGAAACAAACAGAGACAACATCACAACATCAGTGACGATCAACAGTTAAATCACTGATCCTCTAGAAAGCAGGATGAGAAATGTTGGCCTTTAACCACAGCGCCATCTTTAGGCTAATTCATGTGCTAAACTCTTTAACACGGTAAAATAAATGCACCTCTCCTCCAGAACTTGCCAAACCACCTTTTTGTTGAAGCTCCGTTTGAGTTAAAAATGTTGACCTTTAATCCTGACACTCCTGTAATTATCCTTAAACATCTGTTACCAAACGTAACGCTTGTGATCTCTTAAAGTATAACTGTGATGCTTGTCTACGAGCTGCAGGCTGTGTAGATTATATTTAATGAGGGAGCAGGTAGAGCCACTGACTGCCTTTAAGATATTCAGGTTCATGTCCTTATTCGGAATAATATAATAATCCTTCTAAGCTGTTTGAGAGCTGTTAAAAACTAATATTCCCGTTTACAGGCAGGAGTGCATACACCAATGAACATTAAAACGCCTCCCCCACACCAACACATGCTCTCTCTTTCAATCCATCACCCACCTTGTTGAAAAGGTCGGCGTTGAGATATTTGCACAACTTCAAAAACATGTTTATGTATAAGTCTTAAGTTAACGTTTAAAAGAAGGTGTGTTTCTCTGTTATTTCTGGGCATCTCTGCCTCGGCTGGTTGGTTTGAGTTTGAGTGATTTTGAATGTCGCAAACTGCAGTAAATACTGTATTGTGAATGTATGCTGTGATGCTGTATACATGTCTCCTAAAACCTGAATATTATCGGCATATCCCACAAGTCTTAATCGGAAAAAGCTATATTTGGAATAATAATAATCCATCCAAACGTAATATGTTGTTCACATGACCTGAAAACAAATTCAGAATGAGCCACCAAAGATTGAGCAGTTTAACAACAGACATTATTGTTATTTGAATAATAGATAGATACATACACACATACATACATACGTACGTACGTACATACATACATACGTACATAGATGGATGGATAGAGGTCTGAAAAGGTCAAATCTAGTATTTCACCATCCTGTAACCTCTCACATTTCGTATGTTGCCTCCTTGTAGTTTTCAGACCTCCAGGTTTAAAACCAGAGTCAATAATTCAATAATTTATTACCATATTAATGAAACACTGATTGCATTTTGTCTTGTGTGCTCGTCGTAGACAAAAACAATACAGCAAATACACACCAGCTGTACAATACCAATACACACCAACACAGACGTATCACATATCAGCGTAAACACATGGAGGTACTCTTAAAACACACGTGTCTGCTGAGAAACCTGCTCGCAAACACAGTTGAAGTGAAGTTCATGGACTCAACTGATGATGAGGAGGAGTCATGGAAACAAATAGCTTAGTTCTTAATACTACGCAACCTTGTTTACTGAGGGACGGAGGACAGAAAGTGAACTGGCTGGATGAGAGAGCTCTCTGATTATTCTCACAGCCGTCCTTGGAGTTCTACATATTACAGGCCGGTGATCTTTGATGCTGCCTCTACTGCCTTATTTAGTTCCTCCTCTTCATCGGCTGGGCAGTTTGTGCTCTCATGAAACAAACATCACTGGTCTGGTGTTACCAGTTGTGTGTCAGTTGGCCTGATGTCGGGGGATCTGGGCGCGTTTTCCACAGGACCTAAATATGGAGATGACTTTCATTTGATGGAGTCTTTCTGTCCATCTGTCCAACCCTCTGGTGCAGAGACATGGACGGGTCACATTGCCTTTAAGTGTGCTTTGGATATTCATGGTCCCTGGCAGATGATTCCTGTGTTTATCAGTTACCCCCGTTGCCCTTTTCCTCCAACGCCAACAGCACAACAAAATCAAGAAATATTGAAATCCAATGTGCTTTTCCAAAACCTATACTACCAGACTATTCAGTATGCCAGAAATGGATGTAGTCCCAATACACGGTATGTCAAATGCAGTACGCCAAAAAAGTACCAGGATGTCCTAATACATCTGGTCGTATTGTCAGCATGCTCTTCTGGCTGTTGTGACCCACAATCCTTTGTGCAGCAGCTATATTGAGCAAGAGGGTGAAAGTCATGACGAAGTAGTGTGACCCACTTGAATGCATACTACATGCAACATTACGTACTTTGTGAGGGCAGCTGCAGCACGTACTAGTAAGTGAAAAAGGAAAAAGTATGCGACTTTGAACGCAGCTCTAGTGAGCACGTTCATCCTCCCAAAGGAAGAAAACCCCGTTACTGGATTAGTTAATGAATCCATGTGCACACGGTGCTTGTGGTGGACTTGCTGCAGTAGTAGTGTACGGGTACGAGGATGATTTACCATCTTCAACACGTCGTCCCATTTTTTTTTAAATCAATGTTTACAGTATAAATGATTCTTTATCATCAACATCTCAACAGCTTCTCATCCTCTGATCATAGAGATGAAAGTTATCTGATGTGCTTTGACATCATGTCCTCACTTTTAAACACAAGCACACCTTGCGGGGATGTGGTTTTTGATAACAATAGAACATTCATGGGCCAATTTGTTTTCCCTCTCAAAGAAACTAATCCAGGTGTCGTAAGGGCCAATACACAACACAAACGCCACATGCCAAATTAAATGACTTGCAGTATTAACCCTCTGAACCCCTTTTCGCTCCTGTCCCATTCTTCTATATCTATTCATACAAGTTGTTTCCCACATGTGTTACCCATTCTGGGAAAGAAATGGAGGCTGTTTGTATTGAGATATTCACATTTTTACAACCTCTACTCCAGCCTCTCCTCTCCTCTCTGCTCTGTGTTCAGCAGCCTGCAGCTCAGTCAAAGGTTCACCGAATTGTTGTCACATGACTGTTGCTCTCACGTGAATCAAACATAGCTTCCTTGTTACATTGAGAAGCTCAGAATTTAATGTTTTTACAGAATCTGTGTAGAGTAAATGGTTTATTTGAGGCAACATTTTCAATGAGTAATAAAATGTTTTTGATGAAATATCACAATTTTAAGATTAGTTTAGCTTGAGATTTCTGACGAAAGCATTCATCACACGTGACCTGTTCAAGGACCGTGGGAAAGAAGAAAATCTGAAGATAGATTCAGCTTTTACAGCTTCTGGCTACGATAAACGGTGTAGATTTGGCCTTTCTTTAAAGAAAAGATGCTTTTCAATCCCGCCGGCGGGTTTTGGGGCTCAGAGGGTTTAAGTGTAATAAAGTTGCCGAATTCAGCCAGCGCAACTTTCATCATTAAACACTACACTACATTATCAGTCAGGGCATTTCATCACATTATTGGGTTTTATTACATTTTCAATCGGGTCAAGTTCAAATTTTAACACATTTCAGGAAATTATTATATTATTCGGATCTACAATTTTCGATAAAATCATTCACGTGTCTCCATCTTCTCCTCCTCCAGGTATAAACTCTGAGGTGAAGTACTCGCTCCTGGCGGGCGACGGCGGCTACTTCTCTCTGGAGGAGGTTTCTGGGATCCTGCGGCTGGAGCGACCTCTGACCTCCGACGCTCCGCCCGCCTTCGAGCTGAGGGTGAAAGCCACCGACCGCGGCCTGCCTCGTCACCTTTACTCCGTTGTGGCCGTGACGGTGGACGTGGTCTCCCTGGACGACTACCAGCCCGTTTTCCTGAGCTCGGAGTACACCGCTCAAATCCCAGAATCCCTGGCGGTCGGGTCGGAGGTGCTGAGCGTCTCAGCGCTGACGAGGGACGGCGGAGGGCCGGATCCCATCGTCTACCGGATCGCGTCCGGCAACGAGGAGGGACGCTTCCTGCTGGACACACGGACAGGTATTTATACTCCTATATTCTATGTCTCACTCTTTGTTTACACATCTACAACCCCACATTTACAAACAAGGGAGATCGTCAATTAATCATACCAAGGACCGCCGTTTTGATTCCTCAAGTTCGGCGGTTTCGCTGTTGCCGTCGCCATGTTGTTTTTTGCAACCAATAAATGAAAGTTTGGAATGCGGAGGAGTGACGTAAAGACGGCGTATAGGGCTCTGCTAGCGGTAGCCACCTGTCAATCACTGTGTAGCCCCGCCCTAAAGCATCCCCTGCTTTATGGTCTGTTTGACTCTAAATGGACCATAATGTGCTAAATGAACATCATACTGTATTGAAGAAGACTTGAAACTAGAGATTGAGACCATAAACTCATGTTTACAATGTTTACTGAGGTAATAAATCAAGAGAGAAGTAGAGTCATTTTCTCATAGACTTCTATACAACCAGAGGAGTCGCCCCCTGCTGGACATTAGAGAGAATACAGCTTTAAGGTAGAATTGATGAGAGCCGTGACAGTGAATCAAAACAGTGAAGGTGTGAAACCAAACCAATAAGCTGAAAGATGTTAAAACGCTCCGTAGTGTTCAGAGGAACTGCAGAGTTTGTATCATCATGACGATGAGTAAGTCCTCCCACACTTCACATAATCATGTGACCTATTATCTTTATAGAAATATTGATTAAAGCAGTTTAGTTTATTTTTCCAAGCTGCAAATATGCCACAATTTCATTTCCCTCCGAGGTGGCTGGAGGCTGACAGTCAGGTTCACTGTAGTATCATCTTTAAATGAATAATAATGGTAATATTTATGTGTGTGTTAATATACACCACCTATGAATTGAATGTCACTTTTAAACAGCTGCATCATTTATGATTTTCAACAGATAAAACACTAGATGGTGATGACTTTCCATCTGTTTCCCATTTAAAAGAATACATATTATGATCTCGTCTTTATGCCATCTGACACGTCATCCAGTATTATTTAGTTTTACTACTTTTATAAAAGTAAGAGTTCTGCTTGAAGAGCTGAAGTTCAGTAGAGTTGAGTTGAGTATTTCGTGAGCTCCGTTCCCTGCTGGATCAAAGAAAGAACTTGCAGAGTTCTGCAGTGAACCTTTGGACTGCATAGGACCGTCTCACGGCTTCATGCCGATAAATCATTAAAGGGCAGCTGGTCAGAGGAGTCATTGATCGCCGCCCACTGCATTAGCTTTCATTATTTGGGGAGAGCAGAGAGTCTGTAAAGTTAGTAAAGTAGAAGACGTGTCGATCAGAATCTCGGACAGATAAACAGGCACTGGGAGGTATACGGTTGTTGAGATCGGAAGAAGATGTTTATTTATTCAAGTTCAACGAGAAGAGCAAAACTATAAAGTATCTAAAAGGCCCGTCGGACCTGAATCACATATTAAATCATCTGGTTCTGCTCAGGAAACTAATCCGAACTAAAAGTAATCACAGCAGACTCAGTCACTCATTTCAAAGGGAAATATTCAAAGTGAAACCTTCTTCATTTGTTTTTGAATAACAGGCTGAGGAAGACTTTAACTTATGTTCTCTGTGTAGCTCCTCCTGATCAATAAATCCCCCGATCAGCCTTTTTTCCTCTCTCAGTAGTTACACAGAGAGCTGAAGAGTCACGGCTAAAATAACACAGTTTACTTCACCGCCGAAGAGCCGTACTTCAGCGTCTCTGTGTTCGGCATCAACCGCAATTGTTGAGTCAGCATTTGTGCAAAGTAATGAAAATTCATACAGAGCCCAGTGTAACCAACACACACACACACACACACACATACACACACACTCACACAGGAGAAAAACACAGAGGTCATAGCGAGACTTTAAAACAAAGTTCTGTATCTCTGACGAGTGGTCAGCCATGCAGCATGTATTTGTAATGATACACCCACCGGTGGATCTGACCGCGGCGAAGAGGCTGAAAATGAGACAGCTTGCACATTTGTTATGAAGCCCACAGTGTTTGGCTCATAAGGTGAGCCGAGCAGCTTTGCTCAGTCGGGGAACTTTGTGCTAAATATTGTAGATCAGAGTTAACTGTTTAAAAGTCAAAAGATGTCGACTGTGATGTTTTATACTAAAGTAAACCAAAGGGATAAAAGGTGGAAGAGATCTCACTTTCAGTTGTTGTGTTTGTTGCGCTGTCACAAGTCAAAACTGTACTTTACGACGAGATTAATTTAAGTCTCCTCCTCTTGCAGGCCTGCTGACCCTCGTGGCCCCGCTGGACTTTGAGGTTTCCCGGGAGCACTACCTGTCTGTAGAGGGAAGTCGTGGCAAGTCGTCCCTCAGCGACGTCACCACGGTTATCATCAACGTGATGGACCTGAACGACAACGCGCCGGTGTTCGGACGAGGCGACCACAGCGCTGAGATATCGGAGGATCTCACGCCTGGAGGCCTGGTGATGAAGGTAACGGCACAAAGTGACCGAGATGTTACGGGTCCGTTGAAACGGTACAGGGTTCACTGTCTGCAGCAGCATGCAGAATACACGCAATGTAGATTGATGGATGATCACAATCGATAGTAGCGCCTGGAAACTTTCACCAGTACTTCAGCAACTTTTGCATGCGAGTTACACTACACAACACTAGACAGCTGGTTCCTGGTCAGCTGCAACAGAAACACAGAGAGAGAGTTGTGTATAAGATGAGGACGGTGTGTCTGTGTCTCTGCTGCTTTCAAGCTGTTTTTATTTTCAGTTTCACAGAATAAGAGATGCTTTTCACTTTTACAACCTGTTGATACCTGCTGCTTTGTGGGGAAACGTTCGTAGAGTGAAATGTTCCTTATTCTTATATAGAAAACCGTTTCCCAAAGTTGCCAGTTGCAAGATGTCGGTTGAAAAGAAACGTATCCATAAGCATATATATATATATATATATGTAAACAGTTCCACAGTTCCATATGTAAACAGTGGAACATTCATATGTCACAGACAGATAGACATCAGTAATCTTTGATTGAATTGGACTTCAATTTAACTAAAGGACATTTCTCTGTTTTCCTCTCTGTCAACACACACACACACACACACACACACACACACACACACTCACACACACACGAACGACATGCATCAAAATCACATGAACTGATTATTCTAATAATACAATAAAAGGGCAGTATGAGATAATCTGGCAGCCTGTCGATGATAAACATGTGTAAAACTCACACACACACACACACTCTGTCATCTGTCGGGCGGGCAGCAGAGATAATGCAGCGATAACACAGCTCAGTGGCGCTCTGATGAGTCGGTAATCATGTGGTTCCATATTTGACATTTTTCTCCTCAAGGTCGCTGTTTTCATCTCTCTGTTTTAACCATTCAACAGCAACATGTCACCGTTTGAAATGTCCGAAGTCTTTTAACACAACAAGGCGAGGGAGTCCTCTGTCAGGAAACAATTATAGAATTCTTGAGCTAAAGCAATAAAGAGAAAAGCAAGTTGAGAACATGGTTTTATTGCTAGATTTCGCCATTTAAAGAGTCATCTATGTCTGTAATTGAGCCCAAAAGTGTTTTAAAACAAATGAAACAATCTGTTGTTGGAGATTTTTGTGTTTCAATTGTTTTTTTGAATTTTTAATTTGGTGCAGAAGCAACAAAATATTATAATGAAACCAGCCGCATACAGTGGGGCACTAAGGTATGGAAAGTATGGACGCCCTAGTGGGCACGTTATCTCCAATGTAAGAGCATCCTAGAAGGCACTGCATCATGTTTTCTTGCACATTGGGCCATCGTTTTTGGCACTTTCAACGTTTTTATTGATTGTCAGGACATCCAACGGTATTTATTTTAGACAGTGGGAGCACCAGAGTGGGCATGTAGATAACTATGACCTCTCAGCTTACTTTATTATCGTTAGGCATTGTTGTCGCCCTGTTGGATTGTATTTGTTGGGTGCTGACATTGTCCCTCACCTCCCCTCCCTTTCTTTACCTCCAGGTAACAGCCAGCGATCGAGACGGTCCCATCAACAATCTGCTGCGTTACTCCATAGTGAGCGGGGACTCTCTGCAGCAGTTCTCTATTCACCCTCGTAGTGGAGAAATCACTGTCCGCACTGCACTGGACAGAGAAGAGGTCAGTGTGCATCTGTGTGTAAGATCAGTCAATGTCAAAAACAGACAGATATTAAGATTAAAGCACAATAAATACATATGAAACGACTCAGAAACAAATAAAAAAGGGAAAAGAAGTATAACAAGAAAAGGTTGCCTCTGTCTTCTCTCCAGGTCCCTCATTACTCTCTGACGGTGCAGGCAGCAGATGAAGGTAATCCTCCTCTGTCCTCGGCCGTCCTCATCACCATCACCGTCACTGACGTCAACGACAACGCACCCGTCTTCTCCCAGGTCAACCACAGTCTGCAGCTGCAGGTATGACGGCCGCAACATCTCCAACATGTCTGCTCAACAGGATGCATGTGTTTACATGCTGCTGCATCCCACAACAAAAAAACCAAAACCTGTGATTTATCTGATCAAATCTCTCCCTCTAGTTCAGAGGGTTTGTTTTCGCAGCGTGGAGCGAAAACACAGACCTTACACAAACCGCTGCATCGACAAAAAGTCAACAAGCAATATGTCAAAAAAAACGTGTATATGTAAAATAAATTCACCATGAAAGCTCTGGAAAGAATCGCCTGCTCATCGGCTGCTGCAGATAACCTCTGACGCCTCGAGGGGGGGAAGCGTCAGTCGCATTCATGTGTGAAATCTGGCACAATGGAGAAATATTAACTCGCGTGTTCAGCTTATATTCACGTAAAAGCAACTCCTCACGAAAAGACAGTTCAGTTCATTCCTTCAAGTTGCGTTGGTGACCTTAAAAAGCTAAGCTTAACAAAAGTAGCCAAATATTCCTGGAGCAAGGCTGTAGAGGTCTACCTGCTCTGCTCCGGACTCCCTAACAAGGTGATATGAAGACAGATGTTCTTATGATTGAAGCTAATGGAAGAGAATCACTGAAGGTCTGTCGTTCTCTATCAATAAATCTCTCTGTATCATTATAACCAGTGAAAATATACCGCGGGGCCCAGAGCTCATTAAAGCTGTGTGCTGAGAGGTCAAGAGGGGAACTTTCTTCAGAGAGGCACAACCAGAGTTCCTGAGCTTTGTGGGGATCAGAGAGGCGGGAAGATGGGCTGTCACGATTGGTCGGTGTTGGTGTTGCTTTGCAGGACATCAGTGGCACCCTTTTCACCTAAAACCTCTTAACTGCAGTCTGCTGGTGTGGATTTACCTCCACTTTTATGTGTGAAAGCGTGCCTGCGAGTACGTATTTGTGTCTTCATACGGGTGCGTTGGACGATCACAGCGTTGTTTTTTTGCCACGCTGGCTGTACATTAAAGTCTTCACTGCCCGTTTGGAAAAAAAACTCCCATTCAGTCACAGAAGAGACGTTTCGCAGGGCGGAAAAAACCCTCAGCGCTGTGTGGCGATGAATCCAAATTATTGATATCGTCCCCATCTGATAATGTCCACAGCCAGCTCGGCCTGATGATGAAAGCTCTCATTGCAGCAGATGGATGTTGCTGAAATTGGGGAAAGGGGGTTTCCGGGGGGGTTCCAGACAGGTGTTGCAGGTCAGCAGCTGCGGTGGCGTTTTCTCTCCTGTAGACATATTTTTTACGGCTTGCACATCTGTTGTAGTGGAGCGTGAGCGCCCTGTTAGGCTACAGAAGGATGTGAGTACTTTCCCTAAAAGCAGCAGAGGGACAGGTGATTCTGATGCAAGGATGCAGAAGCTCGACAGCACAGCGATGGATTGGTTCACCGCTCGCCTTCTCTCCAGCATGCTGAGCAGTGACACGTGAATAATCCATGTGAACGTGTCTCACTCCCATTCAACAGGATATCAACCAGCTCTGTGCGGCACTGCAGCTGTCGCATGTTTTTGACTTTATATTAGCATTCATCTTGGAGATACTGTGGTAAAGGTTAAGAGAAGCAGACAGACTTCAGGCCTACACTCAATCCACCTGCAGAATCGAACACTTGACCCAGTATGACTGGTCAGAACGCTCTCTGTTCGTTCCTCTCTCTCTCTGATGAAGCCGTTCTTTGTGTCTCGTGAAGCGTGCTCTCATTGAAACACAGGAATTGCATGTTTTAGCCCATTGACTCTAAATTGCTGCCCGTCTACCAAAGCGGGCTGTACGTTTTTAGATTGATAACTTATTTCCGTTCTATTAATGTCAGCAGACGGAGCCATTTAGAGGGCTCTGGATAGGTAATCCATCACGGTGAACAATAAAATAACAGCATTATTTGTTTGTATAAAGTTGCTGTTCTGTGGTACTAAAGGACCATTTTCAAACCTTGGTACTTTTAATGTACTGAGCTGCTGTAAAGTATTGTATTGATACGCTACGGTGTCTGTTCAAAGGTAATTTGTTTCTTAAAGGGTCACTTTAGTATTTTTCAACCCTTTTTTTGTGTCTATAGGGTCAACTATTGTTTTTAATTGCTCCAGAATTGAGTGAGAGGGCTGCAGCTGCTAAACGTGTTACCATGTAATCCAGTCGGGCGACTCCTCACCGTCAATGTTCGTCCACTAAAAGTGCTTGTTTGTGTCTCTGACAGACTCAGATTGTCCGTCAACAGTATGGAAAGAATCCTGCAGACCTTTAGCTCGATCCGGTCTGTTTGTGATTGTGTCACTAAGTCTCCCTCACGGAGAAGTCTCATTCTGAAGTCTTTAGAAGACAGCTGTAGAGTTGGAGTAAGAGGTGAGAGGAAGAGTTTGTTGCGTTAGAGTATGAGTATCCATGAATGCACCGAACGTAAAGGCTTTGAAAACAGATAAAACACAATATTGAGTGATGCTGATAACATTATTAAAGTGAAAAAACACACAATTGAGGCGACTGAATATTCCGTATATCTCTGTATAAAGCAATAAAATGTAACAGCACCATAAACTCCAGGCTCCTGATTGACCTTAAAGTTGAATCAACACCTCTTCAAAAACAGTTTAAACCAAAACTGAACTCCATAATCTTCATGAAGGCGGGATTTCCTGCAATAAACTGGAAATAGAATAAAGTGAAATATTTCAAGTTGAATAAAAAAGGTGAATTAACACACCTGTTCTCCTGCAGGAGGGCGAGTCGCTCGGCCGCAGCGTCCTCCAGCTCGTGGTGACGGACAAAGACACGCCCAGGAACGGACCGCCGTTCTCCATCCACATCGTCAGCGGCAATGAGGACCGCCGCTTCCACGTCGACCAGGGCGGCCTGCTGTCGCTCTCTGCTCCGCTCAGAAAGAAGGTCAAACCCCACCACCAGCTCAAGATACAGGTGAAGACTCTTTATGCTTAGATGTACATGTTTGATTCATATACAAGCTCAATTTCCAAAAGTTCCACATGCAGCATTTAGAATATCGTCTAAAGAAGACAGCAATAAAAGCAAGAACAAAACTTCACCATCTCCTTTTTTCTTACTTCCTGCAATGCTTATTATCTGTTGTTAACAGAGACAACATTTATCGTAGTTTTAATAAAAAAGCAATTATATCATCAGTCTTTAACTGCTCTTCATGCACCCGTCAGGTGACAGACAGCGGCCTCCCCCCCCTCTCCTCCATCTGTGTGGTCAACATCAACGTCACCGAGCAGAGCAAGTACCCTCCCTCTGTGGCGCCCCTGGAGGTCTTCATCACCACCTCCGGTGGGCTGTTTGCCAACCGGCTCATCGGCCGGCTCCACGCCTCAGACCAGGACCTGCAGGACGTCCTGACATACAAGCTGGTGTCGGAGCACCCGGGCAGGGGCAGGTTCTCCGTCGACCTCGCTGACGGCAAAATCTGGGCGGACGAGAACCTGAAGGAGGGTTCCTACTCGCTCAACGTCAGCGTGGCGGACGGGAAGTTCAGCGTCTGGACCGAGGTCAGAGTTCACGTGTGGAAGGCGGACCAGAAGGCGCTGGACTCCGGCCTGACGCTGCAGCTGGTCGGGTTGTCACCGGAGGAGTTTCTGGGCGCCCACTGGAGAGGCCGGCAGCACAGCTTGGGACAAAGTCTGGGTTTACCCGGACAGGAGCTTCACCTGGCCAGCCTGCAGCAGCTACCTGACGCCCGGGGCCTGGAGGCCCTGCTGATCTGGAGGCCTCAGAGTGGACTCGCCCAGACTCCGCCCACCAGCAGACTCGCAGGTGATCGATCAATATGTGATAATAAGACAAATATATGAGCGTCTGGCAGCCCTAAATGTTACGCAGATTTCCATAAAGCTGTGATAAAAATGATGTTTAATGTTGAGGATGTGAAATAAAGGTCAACGCCTCTAAAAACATCACTAATTAGTTTTCAATGGAAAAACAAATAAATTAATGTCAACTCCCTCCAAAGATGAACAAGAATGAAACACAGAGCGATGAATTTCAGCTGCGTTTCTTCTTCTTCTTCTTCATTTGGACACAAAGTAAGTCAGGTGAATCCTGTGAGATGAAGAGTCTCTTTGAATGTGCAGTTCTGACACCCTGAACCCTTTGATGTAGGTATTACATCGGCCATCGAGGACTCTCTGGGCCTCAGGAACCTCAGGGTGATCCACAACGGGTGTGTGGGTGCCGGCTGTCCGTCGCGAGGCTGCAGGAACGCCGTCCGGCTGACGTCGGATCGACTGAGCCATTTCACCGCCGCCGGAGCCGGTTACATCACCCCGCGACACACCTGGGAGAGCGTCTGCCCCTGTAACGGTACGTCTGTCCGTCTGCTCTGGAGTTAATGAGGGAGAGTGTGTGTGTGTGTGTGTGTGTGTGTGTGTGTGTGTGTGTGGGGGTACTGATGTGAGAGTGTGAACCAGGGGAGGAAGTCTTTAGCTGCTGTATTATAGCGCCTCCACCTCCACTGTGGACAATAATAATGACAGCAAAACTCAAACGTTAAGAGTTTGTTTACTGACTGCAGCATTCACTTTGCTTTGTCCAGTTTTGAGTTTGAACACACACTCGAAAATCTGCTTAAAATTAGCAGCTAGTGTGGATTTGTGACTTCTGCTCCATTGTGGTCTTTAGTCTCTTCAGTGTCTGTAGTTTGTTTTGAGAGGCCGACACTGAGACGTCAGTTGTGGTGTTTGAGGACGATGTGAGTAAACTCCGTCTCTAGTATTTGTGCCGGTTAGGAATCGAAGAGGTTCATCTTTCCAAGCATACAGACTCAATCCTCCATCAGATTAAATCCTCACTGGTATTTTCAGAGATCAAAGAGCCTTCTTCTCGTGACTTGTTCAAACACAGTAAACTCAACGGATTTCATATGAATCCCTCACCGGCCCTCAGGTAGCTTCTAAACCGTTGCTTGTGTTGTCGTTCCTGTGAGGATTAGTGGTGTGAGCACACGATACCAGTCAGCTCGGGGCTCTCCAGCATGTACACTCATTATCAGTCTTCCTCCCTCTGAAGCATCCTCTCCGTGTGTTATCGACGCCGTATTTTGTCTATATATCGGACACGTCTTTAGTCGTGAGAGACTCTGGTGTTCGGCGATAACGAGAGCACGCAAGAAAAACACGGGTATCTTAAAAGCAGTTTGTTCCCATGTTGAAGGTTAACTACATTTTTTGTATTATTTTTACATATTTAAATCCTAAAATCCTCAATTTGAATAAAGTTATTCATTAGGTTAAATGAGTTAGTTTTATTTGAATAAGTCATCTTCTTCTTATGAATATAACTCATCAATGTGTGCAGCAAGAAAAAAAACATGTTTTTGAAAGGCTAAAGGCCGACTGAATATTTTATTAGATAAAAAAACATGTTGTGAATGATGACCGCTATCGTTTTTATTAATACACTTTGACTTTTGGACTTTACAAACTCTCTGGAGGTATTGGAAATGTTTAAATAACATGTGGGCGGATCTTTACCTGCAGCTCTGCAGAAAGAGGAGGAGGAGAAACCAGCGAGGCTTTGAGGAGCGATGCAGATAAAGGCTGTTTCTCACTAAGTTTGTGGCCTTGAGTTGAAATGTTGTTGCATTGAAAAGCTTCAATAACAAGAACGTGTGATTTTTAAAGGTCCACCGACTTGAGAGTCTTCAGAGGTTAAACTTAATAAGAGTTTATTTGCAGAGAATATTTAGTGAAACATGTCACGTTTTAAAGACTTTGTCTTCACTCAGAAGTGACCACAGAAATGAGCAAAAGTAGTTTTCTTTCTTTAAATCTTTTCAAACACATTATCGAAAGTTAAATCAAAAACATAATCAAATGTGTGCAGTTTGTCTTTATCTTACCACACTAATGAACCACAAACTGTTTACCTTCCAGCTTCCAAGTGTTTGAGCAAGGCAGTGGAGGTTGTTGTTTATGTGTTGGTTAGTTCATGCAGCAGACACAAAGAGATGAACATCGTTGCATAGGAATAAGGATGCAACTATCCGTTATTTGAGTTGGATTAAGCTGCTCGTTTAATTGTTTTGTCTATAAACTGTCCAAAAATGTCCAAAAAAAAGGGGAAAGACGATCACAATTTTCCAAGAAGCCCAGCTTGACATCATGTCAGTCACATTACTCGGCCGACACAATATTCAATTTACTGTCAAACATTCAGATTTAAGAAGCTGCAACCAGAGCACTTAACAAAGTACTCAAAGGTTTTATTCTCATTTAATTTGTTGCCAACAAAGTATTGAACAATCAGGGAAAAGAAATGCAGCAGATGTATGTGAGGCACCCGGCTAAAGTGTGTGTGTGTGTGTGTGTGAATGATACGACTACATAAAGGTGAAGGAGCTCCACGTCTTTCTTTCATGGTGCTTCTCCTGCTGCTCACTATCTGTTGTGTGTTTTCTCTGTTTCAGAGTCGGCCGTGAGGTTCGATGGTCACGCCTACCTGAAGTACCTCCACCAGATGGATGAAGACAACCAGGACTTCAAACTGTCTCTGAGGTTCAAGACTTTCCAGGACGGAGGCGTCATCGTGTCCACCGACAGCACCGACGACTGGGGAGCTTTACAGGTATTCAAAGAAAACAAGACTTCTCCTTGAAACGTTTGTGGCAGATGTTCTTCTCACTGATTATTTTTTATGAACAGATGTCTTTTTGTTTGTTCCAAAAGTTAATTCTGTTGCTGGATGTTGTGTCTGTTCTGTCGGAGCTTGTTCCAAACACACGTTAGTTAACAGGACGGGTAGCTAGTGGAGCCAATCAGCTGCTGGACTCCAACTAAGTACATTTACACAAGTACTGGTTTGAGATACTTCTGCTTTATATACGTACATGTTTCCATTTTCATTCTTGCTGGAGGATAAAAAGTTAGCAGTGAAGCATGAACCCTAAATCACATTGAATTCATACATTTCACAACTCATTAGAGGACGGTCCAGTCTTTTTTTAAATGATTGTTAAAGGTTTTTATATGATTCTGTAGCTTCCCAGAAGTGTTATTAATAATGTATTAAAATCTGAAAATTAAAAAGTTTATATGTTTTAGCATCAAAATACTATTTTCCTAAGCCCTCGTATAAGCGTGTTCCCAGGTGATGCATGATGACGTTGCTTCGTCTAAACCCCCGACTCCGCCTACGTGGTTTATATGAGGTATTTATCCACAGTAACTCAAACAGTGGCGATCGGCACGCTCCCAAAAGTCACACAGTAACACAAACTAACAGCAGACCAGCTACTCCTTGTTCTTCCAGGTAACTCGAAGGAGTCTGGTGGCTCTGAAGAGATAGATAACGGCTTCAGTTCCCCATTAGTAAGACAGCAGGATAAAGAGGTGACACTGTTCTAAATATAACTGAGACTGATTGTTTTAGGCGTCTGAAATACGTCCACAGCAGTTCGTCCTACGTCATCGCTTTCCTCCACTTGGAAAAACTCTGGAAAAGAACGCAGAATCCACCTTTAAGTTGAGTTTGTTTCCATCAGGATGTGTCAGGCTAACAGCAACTTTCTGCTGCATTCATTCAAAACTGGCTCAAGGACGAAGCGGTAAAGAAAAGACGACGTCATTGTTTGTTCTGTTCACACAAGACTCAAAGCTCTCGTCTCTGTCGGTTTGTTGGAAACAGCTCAGGTTAATCAGGCTAATGCAGCAATTAAACAACTAAAGGGACAAGAAAGTCATCATTTCTGTCGTGTGTGAACATTAGTTTTATTCTCCCCTGAGCTGGAGTTTTATTTTTGCTCGTCGAGTTTTGCTGCTGCGGAGAGATTAAATCTCTCTGTTGTTGTTTGACACTAATTTCCTTTCACCATGATCAGATCTGAGAGCTGCTGATTTGATCTTCGGGAGCTCTCACTGGGGAACGCCATCGAAAAATGAAGCTTTAAAATCCACAAATGTCTCCAGCTCATTTATAAACTCTACTGGATGTTCTAGTTCACTGAATCGTCTTTCTGTTGTAACAACACTGACATGTTCGACCACGTGAAGGGCCAGCTGTGTCCGGGGCCTTTTCATTTCCTATTTGTCGAAAAAAGAAAAGCCAGCGTGAGGGTTTGTTGTCGAGTTAGTGATTTTACTTGTTAAACAAACTGCTGGTTCTCTCTCTGGCGATCGCTTCATATGTGCTAAATGCCTGATTAAACAGGAAACTCCCGCGCTGCACATATTTGTGATCATGAAGCCGGCGATACACTATTTATTATTTATTACTCCTGCTCTTCCAGCGTAATCAGCTCATCGATGACCTTTTAAAGTGACGACTGCTGGCTCTGAACGCAGCACGCGTTGCCCTTTTCCCTAAAATAATTTTAAAAATGAACAGCGAGGGAACCGGCGAGACTCCTGCAGGAGTCCTGATGAAAAATTGTGTTGTCTTCAAGTTTTTTTGACGTGCCTTTTTTTTGGAATTGTCAAAGGGAAGAAAGGAAGATTCCTCCAGGCGACACAACACCAGGTCTACTGTATTAAACATGCAGGTTGGAAGAGAATGATGAACTGTCGTATTCTTTGAGAGACGTGAATAATTCTTCTAACAGAAATGCGGACTTGATAAGGACTTGAAATGCAGCGGGATGCTTCCCCTTGTGAGCTCCTCTCATCCGTGTGACATCCGTGTGCAGAATACTCGATCATTTTGATAACTTCAGAAGCAGCGTTCAGTCTTTCCCGAGGTTCTACCTCCTGGGTTCTGGTTTCACGGCTCGCACATGCGATTCATTGTGAGCAGAAATGCCTTTATTAAGTCATTTTTTTGCATTCTACTTCCCACCACCAGTCATTCCTACACGGAGGGATTTCTGAACGGGTCTACCGGTCACAGGCCCGGGGGTCCAAAGTGTCATAGCTCCCCACCGGCCTTCACCTACAACATGTCATTTAAAGAGACACGAACCAACCAGGAAGCGATGCGAAAAGACTACGGAGAGACAAAAGATGACTTCACAGGGATGCAAGAAGACCACAAAGAGAGGCTGAACAGCTAGAATGTCTCTGTCTTGCTTCAAGGGGCCCGTTGTCTCTTTAAATCCGACAGTGCCTGCAGATTTGAGGCCAAACTCTCAATGTTAGCTTATTCATTTGCATGTAACCACAGAAGCGGTTCACATGTAACTACATTTTATTTTGTACCACAACAAACAAGCTGCAGAGGTTTAGCGCTGCCTCCTGTATGTAACACCTGTGTGTGTGTGTGAGCACATACATGACGTACCAATGCTTTGCTCAGCAGTATTAAATCTCTCTGCAGCGTTCGCATCGGCGCTCAGCATCTCTGATTTATGGAGCCGTGAAGCCCTGATTCTGTAGAACTCCAGTTCCCTGCGGAGCCCGACTCGACACTTGTGTCTGAGCTACATCGGCCGTGCTGATACTGTAAAATCATCAGTGCATCAAACTGTGCTATCCCTCTTCAAATATCCACCATAAATCACCCGGGAAGCCTCACCAAGGCATGTACAATAGATTAAAAGACAAGCGACAGGCGCCTCGGATGTCTCTAGGTTTTTTTGTTTTACTTGTTCCTCTGCCAGCTCTTCGACGTCTTCCCCGTGATAAGCAGAGCAGCCCCCATCTCGCTCTGTGTGCTGTCAGTAATCCAAGTGAAGAATTTTGCCCATGCGTCCCTCCAAGATAAGTCATTCCAGCAGGGACAGAAAGCAACCTGTCCACGCTGCACCAAAGACTTTCATGAGCCCAAATCCCAAACTCACCGATTTTGAGATGCGCTCCTGTAAAGTCTGTGAGGGTTCAGTTCTGTTCCTCTGTCAGATGTTTCAGGGCTCTCCCTCTCTCGCAGACATTTAGAGCCCTTTATGAACCCTTTCCGTAAGTCAGAGTTTCTGCAGGCTCTGCCTGAGGGAATTACCCACAATTCACAGCAAAGTGACGTTAAACACTCGGTTACTAGTGGACGCATGGAGACGTAAGAAGAAAAAGGTCAACAAAGAGGACGGCACATGGGTGTTAAATTACATTTACACAGAAACATTAAGGGTTAAAGATGGAACATAAAAACACATGATAGCAGAGATTATATTACACGGCTGGTTAATTTATTTTGTTTGATAAAAACAAGTAAATAGATTATTTGACAAATGACCTCATCTCGTGAGGGAAAAACATGGAAAACGTTCAAATCAGGGAGTAAAAAATATAAAGTAAAAACCCACAATTGTACATATGTGACATGATGTTTTCATGGTAACGTGTACCATTCGTACCTTACAGCCTCTCACACTGAAACCATTCACCAGGTGACGTCAGTTAGGTCCCTGAGGGTTCAGGGTTTAGGGCCTTAGGGGGGACGTTTGGGACTGGGCCTAAGAAAGACAATACATCTACAGAACAAAAGGGAGAAAACACAAAAAAGATCATCCTCATCAATTTAAGAAGCCGGAGCAAAAGCAGATCAATAATGCATCACGGCCCTCAGCGTCCGATGGGGTTGATGCTCAATAACACACAGACACACTCCGTCGGTATATTTAACACGCTACCATGAGAGGAGCCTGAAGAGAAATTAATAGATTAAAAAAGTAAAAAGTTAGTTTGCGGGAACGCTGAGCGAGCAGAAAGATTGAGATGTTGATGAATAGATGCTGCTGATGTTCAGATGGAACATCAGCAGCATGAGATTGTTGTGACTTGTTCTGTTCTTCATTTTAATCTCTCGCTTAAATACTCAAAGGCTTATTTTTGGTACATTGGATCTATAAACACAACAGGTTATCTCTCCATACTATTGCAACAGTGATTGAGTCGGTCGGTTTCCGCAGGTTAAAAGATTGTTTAATTGAATCAACTATATTCCAACATAACTACTTGATGAAACACAGAAATAAAAACAGAGTTTAACAAATAACCTTTTGCTTTCAAACCTATTTAGTCCACGTTTGTCTAAGACGACCTCTGACCTGTGAGCCGCAGAAACGATGCTTCCTGTGGACTAATTACAGCAGGAAATAATTGCTGTAATTTAAAGGAAGAGATCAATACAACAATCACGACTACGTGACGCACAACAATAGAGTAACGAAGGCTGAGCTGCACTTTAAATGCCAACTGAATGCAATTAGACGATGACGAGTACGTTTAACACACCCGGATGTAAGCTTTGAATGACAATACAAAACATTTTATAATTGAACAGAAATTATATATAAATTCAAGAGGCAGTTTTTCTATAAAACAAGAAAAACCTGACCGGTTGTCCTTTGGTCCTCCCACTAAAACTCTTTCTGATAATCTAACTCGACATTAAGCCATAGCTTCTTCTTCTTCTTCTGGTACATTAAAAGCTTCTGATGCTGCTTTCTTGCTCTAGATATCACTGAAGTGTTGCTAACTGACCCTGGTTTTGCTTCCTCAGCTGACCGATGGAGAGCTGCACTTCAGGTTCAGCTGTGGAAACACCTCCCCCGGTTCCTTACTCATCAGATCTGATCCGGTGTCTGACGGCCGGTGGCACAGCGTCCTGCTGGAGGTCAACTCCAGCGCCCTGCGACTGACCCTGGACCAGCAGCGTCCGGCCTCTGTCCCCCTGACCGAGCCGTGCCGGATGTTGCGCCCCCACGGCGCTTTGCTCTTCGCCTCCCCGTCTCGGGACGCCTCTCCAGAGGTCCTCCGGCGTCCGCGTAACTTCACCGGCTGCCTGGAGGCCCTGGAGCTCAACGGGGAGCCGATCAGAGGAGTCGGTGACGCGGCGGAGTGGGCCGGGCCGGGGGGCCGGCGGGTGTTCGGGGTTTACCGGTGCTGCGGCAGGGCCTGTGACGACCACCCCTGTCAGAACGAAGGGGTCTGTGAGGAGGACGCCAGCGGAGGTGAGTCCACTGAAGACGTTCTCACTCTGACTTAAAGTTCACTAAATCGTACAAAATCAATACATTCATACATTCCCTCTTGGCTGTAGTGTTAAAAATCAACCTCGGTTGTTTTGGAGTGTGTCCTTGATTATCTTGAGTAACCGGGTCAGGATGGAGTTTTGCAAATGTATTTTTTTGGCGCTTTAAGCACCACAAGCCGACCATTGACTTCCATTATATTGGAGGGAAGGCAGACACCAAAGCCATGTAGATAAATAGAACTACAGGTAAGAGGACAAATACGTATTTCTGATGTTGGAGTGAATTGTCCTTTTAAAAGCATCTGAAAACCTTTTTAACTGAAACATTAAATTATTTAATAAGTAACTTCAACTTATTTGTTGCATGTGTTTTGCAGTTTGATGTGTTCGTCAGTATTTTATTATTAATTAATTGAAAATGTTAAACAAAACGCAAAAAAAAAAGAAATCTCTCACGTGAAACCACCACAACTCTAACAACGGTGCGTTCATGTAATCACAAAGTCCCTCGTTAGATCGGTTTCATCTCCTCTGCTCTCTCGTCGTGTCTCCTGCAGATTTTTCCTCCTGCAGAAATCAACAAGCTGTCTCCTCCCCAATGATAATATAACAGTTTATTCCACACCTTCCATGTACTGCACCACTAATTAAGGATGTTTTTGGGCCTTGTCATGGGAATTCTTGACTGTCAAATAAATATAAAATAATGCCATCTTTGTGGAAATCGGGCCCCAAAATGTTCAGCTAGATCCCCTGGAAATCAGTACGTCTTATTACCACACAAGAAGAGGAAGAAGTAGAAAGTATTTCAGTTTTCCTCCCTTTAAATATTCTTAAAAGTTCACCTTCTCAGTCCGGTACGAACCGTGAAGGATTAGTTCCTTATCAGGCTCTCGGCCCTTTATGCTGATTGCCGTTTTAGGTTATCACTAAGTTGGCCGAAGGCATCAGTACTTGTCGAAACACAAAAGAAAAAAAATTGGGGTCAGAAAGTCTTGCGGTGACTTTTTTTTCCGTTCTGTTTCACAAAAGAGGACTTTTATTTAGAATAGCAGCCGATAAAGACACCTGCAATCTTACAGCCAAGAAGACCGGGAGAGCTTTAAAATGATTATTATTTTTTCACGAGTCTCTGTGAGACTGTAATCTTTCTCTATGAAGGCTCGATATGAAACCAAACACAAAGCCGGAGAAGATACGGATCTCTGTGCTTTTGGAGGAACGGCGTAAACAAACGAACCTCAAAGCTGTTATCAAAAAAACAAAAGCTGCCGCCTGTTTGGTGTTTCTTTACCTGTCGGCCGCTGAACTTCATAACTTCTCATTCTCCTTCAGTCGGATGAGGACATGTTCAGCGTGGCCCTGTGGACACAGGAGAAGAAGGTCACAGCCAAGTATTACTTCTCTCAGCACTTTATTCATCATCACGTCAAAATCACATTGCAGTTATGCTGCAGGATCAAATTCTGTGTGTGAAGCCGAAACAACAAATACATATTGTTTCCCAAAAAAAGATCCTTCCAGGTCAAATGTGATCAGACGGGCAACAGCAGCCGAGGCTGTGCATGTTTCTTTATTCGTCCTGCAGACTGTTTCACTGAGGCATCAACTCTGTTTGTTTCCTGAGATAATATTAAAAAAAGGATATTAACAGATGAAGACAGCAAGGTTTAACTTGTTTTCTTATTATATTATACCAGTTTAAAAACATACAGTAATACTGGTTTAAGGCAGTCTAGTACTGGTTTAAGGCAGTCTAGTACTGGTTTAAGGCAGTCTAGTACTGGTTTAAGGCAGTTTAGTACTGGTTTAAGGCAGTCTAGTACTGGTTAAGACAGCCTAGTACTGGGTTAAGACAGCCTAGTAATGGTTTAAGGCAGTCTAGTAATGGTTTAAGGCAGTCTAGTACTGGTTAAGACAGCCTAGTACTGGGTTAAGACAGCCTAGTAATGGTTTAAGGCAGTCTAGTACTGGTTTAACATAGTCTCATACTGAAACCATTTCCAATAACAGACTTGTTTGTAGCTGCTGGACGTTGTCTGTTTTTGAACCAGCTATCCACACGAAAGAAGAAACACAACTACACAAGTTCTCCCTCTTAAAGATCAAAGACACTCTGGTGTTCTCCGGCTGGATCCGGTTGACCTTCGCTGGGATTATTCGCTGCCTGGAGGGGAAAAACCCGATGAATAGTTGCTCTCGTCTCAGACGTCTGGGTGTGTTTTCTTTACTCTGCAGAGCCGCGCTGCAGGTGTTCGGGATTCTTCCACGGCGCCCGCTGTGAGCTGGCCGACAACCCGTGTGCCTCCCAGCCGTGTGATCAGGGCCGGGTGTGTGTGCCCAAACCTCAAGGTTACATGTGCAACTGCTTACCGGACAACACAGACACACGGTAAAAACACACACACACACACACACACACATTAATTTATTGACTTTATTAACATGCAGTAGTTTCTATACTGGTGAACACGTGTGTGCTGTGTGATCCCTCCCTCAAGATGTGATGATGCTGGAAAAATCGTATTCATGAAAATGCTGTTTCAGAAGCTTTTACAGAAGATTAAGATTATGACCAGCAGGGGGCGACTCCTCTGATTGTATAGAAGTCTATGAGAAAATGACTTCTTCAATACAGCATGATGTTCATTTAGTACATTATGGTCCATTTAGAGTCAAACAGACCATAAAGCAGGGGATGCTTTAGGGCGGGGCTACACGGTGATTGACAGGTCTCTACCA